GTAATTTCTGTTAGGATTTCAATAACAAGTTAGGAGTGTAGAATGGCTTCTTTACATGTGGCCACTAGAGGTCCTCAAAAGACCTTTACCTCCAGTTCAGTTTGATCATACAGCTGCACCAAAGATCAAAAGGCCTCAAATTTCAGAGCTCACATTGAAAATGATGCTTGGAAACCTTTCCAAAGAGAACAAATCCACCTTTTACTAGGGTAAAAATTGAAATCTGGGATAATTACGGTAATACATTTAACTGCAGGTCATTTTACTGAATTCTCATGGAATGAGTGATCAAGCAGTTTTGCATGAAACACACAAAGGAATACCTCCACAGTGAACCAACAGTAGAGGATATAACACCGGAAAAACGCTGGTTAATGTCACATTTGAGCAACTAGACAGAGATGTATCATATAAAATAAAAGTTGTCTTTTTGAAACTAATCATTGTGTTTGTGTTCATGTTTCTAATTTCTCTAGATTCTCTCCCTAAAAACTAGAGTATGAAGATGTTGTTTTGCAACAACTTTTATGTTCCTATTTAATAATAAACTATAAATTAATTAGAAAGTAAATATCCAGACCATTTGGTGCAGGATGTGCTGATGAAAGAGAATTAGGAACTGTTAGACATAAATCCTTCTGTTTCAGCACCATCCCTACATGCTTGAATAATCTTACCATCTTATGCAAACACTCATGTAATATACTCAATCATAGTCAATCAATATTATTGAAAAGTTCCTTTACCACAGTAACTCCATTCACTGTTGAAATAGTGATTACATTATATGGATCAATTACATGCAGACTGATGTTTTTACATCTTTATTTCTGTTATTTATTTTCTTCTTATGGCTTACATAAAAACATTTTATTAAGGAGGAGAATATTGCATTACAGCAATTAAAAAAGGTCTCGTGTTTCTGTATGTTTGTATGTTTAATAATGACTTTAAGGCAGCTCTTTTCAAAATAGCAAATTAATTTAAAAAAGCAGAATAAGGCATTTTCTAGTTTACTGAATATGACTAGGACCGTTCTAATCAGGATTTTTTTTGAATAAGGTTGCACACGTATTTAAAGCTATACATTGTAGCTTTAAATATATGTGTGTAAGTATAATGGTGATCTCTACAGTCACTAGTTTGTCAGCTCTATGATGCCGTAGCCCAAAAGATGTCTGTCACCACAAATGCAAACACACTCCTATGTAATTATAAAGATTCATTTCTAAGGCAAGGCAAACACAAAGATTGAGACTTTCAGTTTACAGCTGATAATAAATACATCTAACTAATATATGCCATTTATGTCAGATAATCCCGTAATTATTACACAGTGTTCCTTTAGGATTATGGCAGCTAAACTATGCAAAAGTAAAAGACTTTAATTAAAAGCATATCTGAAGGACTCAAAAACTACAGTGAAAGAGTTTAAAGTATTTTAAAAAGAATCCAATCCTTTTGCTGGATTGATAAATAAATAACTGAAATAAATATTTATATTACATATTTAAAAGCAACTAACAATACAATTAAATGGATCCATAATTTCTTTAGTGAAATAGGATTATAGTTATAGTAATCGATTAGTCTGAATTTATTACTCTTTTTTGTTGATATATAAAACTTAAGTGTTATTCAGCCACGTAGACTGAAAAAAGTAAAACTAATTTACTTAAAGTCTAAATTGTGTGGGAAGTATGAGTGTTACAAACCTTAAATGCATCTCTTTGTTGCAGAACTCTGTGTTTCCTGGCAGGAGATGAAACAAGATAAAATCTGAAATGCTGAACTTTTATGAAAGATTTGATTAAATACTTTATTGATTCAGAACATTTAATTCCCCTTAGTTATCAACAAGTATTTTGCTGTCTGGCTGTGACACCTTCCTGGAGAGAAATGCCGTATATCAGCTGTGCTCCTGCCATCAACACCTTTATTCATAGATGTTGGAGATTGGCCTATTTTTCAGTGTGGACCTGTTTCTTAGACTGTGACTGGTTGGATCTTTTCTCTTCATCCTCTGACATGGGAGCTGGCTCGGAGTTCGTCTGCCTGGCTGTGTGTTTCCTCGATGGGGCCGGCTTTTTATCTCTGCTTCTTTTTCTATGTCTCTGCTTCTGTCTCCTTGAACCCTAGTCGGCCTAAGCAGATGGCCGCTCACACTGAGCCTGGTTCTGCTGGAGGTTTCTTCCTGTTAAAAGGGAGTTTTTTTCCTCCCCACTGTCGCTACAAGCATGCTTGGTGTGATGGATTGCCTTTGAGTTAATGAGGCGATGCAATCAACTGGTTTTCCTTAGATAGAAAACTTTGAATCAATTTGACTGTATGATCTGGTGAACTGGAAAGTGCCTTGAGATGACATGTGTTGTGAATTGGAGCTATATGAATTCATTGAATTGAATCAAATTGAATTTCATTAAGTTTAGTTGACATAAAATCACAATGAAATCCATTTATAGACTGAAAACGTTTGTATCACTAAGATTTTCCACAATTAATGCAGAAATATTTGATATTCCTTTAAGTAGTGTTTCTAACTTGGCTTCAATATTTAAATCCATCCACTCTTTGTTTTATGGTCTTACTTTTTAATAAAAAAAAAAAATATATATATACATGTACTCAGATTTACATCAGCAACAACAACGGCAGGTTATAACTTTAAATGCTGCAGGATCACTGGAGCGTCTTCAGCTGCTGGACGTCTGTTCTAGGTGCTAAAGAGCAGCAAACCTAGACCTTTCAGTTGGCAGACGATGTTAAAGTTTCTTATAAAACACTTTTTCATTAGGTCACGCTGCATAGGTATAAAAATGTTGTCAATCAGCTGTGATTTTCATTTATTTTTTTTGTAAATGGAATTTCCATCCACATAGTTTGGATAGACATTACTTGACTTTCAAATCTGCTTTAAAATGATCTGGTTGTTGTTTTGGTCTGACTGCAGAGTTTTTAATCACATGTGCTGCGTTAGGTGGGGCAGGTGGATATCTGTTTCCGCATATTCCTATATCTCACCAACAATCCTGTGGGAAAGGATGCAGCTCACAGTGAGGAGACAATGACACTGTATACATGAAGTCGGGTAACTGAAAAACATTTTGGACAGATGGTATTCTGCTGCAAACTATATCCAAAAACTTAAAATAATTAAAACCTTTTCTCAAAGTGGGAAATTTTTTATACCTCCCCTGCTGGCTGCTTCATATGGAAATCTATACTCATATTACCAGCTACAATTAGTGTGGTTAGGTTATTAAAGCCTCTCTTAACACACATAAGCAAACACAAACAAAAATGAAAAAAAAAACAAACACTGTGTTTCACAAGTTACTTAAATTATTGCAGATTTTAAAATATTTTGCTCCTCTATGGCATTTCTATGGACTGCCTCGTCGACTTTCATACCAATGCCTCAGTTATCATTTCTGAGTTTTCCTGCATTCGGGCTACTTTTTCACTCCTTCTTCTTTACCTTTATGGTAGTAGGACATTAAGTTTTATCACTTATGGTTCCTCTGTTTTATCGGGTTTTATCTTTGTGTGTTTTTGTCACTTTTTTGCAGGCAAAGTCTACTTCTTAAGGTAGATGTAGCTGGTATCTAGATAAACACTGTAGTTTTGGAACAAACTAAAAATAACAACAAGAAACAGCTACAGTAGGTATCAAAAATAGCTCCTGAAAATTAAGTTCTGCTGTACAAATTTTCAGAGACCGAGAGTGAAATTGACTTACACACTGGAAAAAAAACAAAATCTAGATAACTCATTTTTTTCTTAAAATAAGTGTGTTTGCTCTTGAATTAAGGAGGTAAAAGAGACATATTGCCAATGGAACAAGACAATTTACATTTAAAATAAGAAAACACAATTGCTTTGTCTTATTTCAAGAGCATATTATCTTATTTTAAGAGTAAAAATACTCATCATCTCATTTACCTACTCAAATTAAGGGTAAATACACTTAATTTATGAAAGTTTTACTTATTTCTAGATGGTTTTGCAGTGCAGTTAGCTGATCAATTTAAGCACAAACAGGTTTAAGTTGGATAATTGAATTAAACTAGGTATACTCTAGGTGTACACAACAAAATTCCAGTCGTAAATCTGACTTTTAGTTAGATAAGTTTCACTGATATAAAAAGTTTAAAATTTTAAAACTGAGAGGCCATTTATTGGGATAGATTTTTATGCATCTGGCTTTGCCTTAGAGTCTCCGCTTTAGAAATGTACCCTCACTCTCATAGAATACAAAGAAAACTGATGACAGGGTTAAAGTAAAAAAAAATGTTGCTTCCACTGTGGGACCTCCGACAAAGACAAAGAATTTCACTTGTTTTAGTTTCCCATCAGAGGAAGTTGAAACAAAGAAAAGAAACCCCTGGATAAGCAGACATCTGGTTGGCTGGCCTCCTGAATAAAGCCTCATTCTGGGCAGTAAAAGCGGGACCCATCGTAACACGGCTGTGATATATGGAGGTCTTGGGTGGGAGAAGGGTGTGGGGGTATTAACTTTCACAAGGGTGCAAAATCAAAGGGAGTTCCTGTCACCATGGAGGGGTCTCGGCAACAGGGGTCCCATTCACAGGGAATTCCTCCCCACTGCCCCTGTGATGCAGCTGTTGACTCAATCCTATCTACTGAGAAAAAGAAAACACACATTAAAAAGCCGCATGACTGTGAACTTGATTGCGGCGGGTGGCACAAACGGCCCATCAATGGGATGAGTATTTACTTTGAGGTGTGAAAATCTTTGAACTGCCCCAAGATGTTAGGTCTTTTTTTTTTTAAGAGCCTCTTCCTTTTACAGCAGCATCACAATGGACAGCATTTAAATTCTGGAAGCAATCAAATTAACATTTTAATAAAACCCCTCCAGAAGGAATCAGCTGGTGAGAAAGTTAAACTCTACAAAATGAGAAAATATTCAATAAGAAGTTTTTAAAAAAGTTTTCATGACAGTGTTTATTAGAATTTACATTTTGAACAAAACCCAAATAAAACTGTTCAGAATATTTACACATAATTTACAAACATTTTTTAACTTTAAAAGGTTTGGTCTGCAGAACATGATATTGCATTGCCTCCAAGGAGCAGATAAATATGTAAATAAAAAAGTTTAAATGTCCAAACACACACCAATCGCTCAAATCCGTAATCAAAATGGAAGTTATCACCAGCATGATTTGTGCAATTCTTTTATTTATTTGATTTTTAGAGGGAATAATTATTTTTCAGCTAATACATTTAGAAATCACGTTAAGGAAGAACCCTGTCACTTTTTTCATTAACTCTAACAAAATCAAATATTTACATAAGGTGAAAAAATAGACTTTTCACACCAGTTGAATTTTAAATAAGTTTCACATAATGAATGGGAAAACCCCTTAAACACAGATTTTTATTTAATATTCGTTTCAAGTTTCCAGATTAGTCTAAAGGGAGTATTCTGCTAATAATGGACATCCAGGGAATGCTTACCCTGTAGTGCAACATCTGGAACTGGATTCCAAAAGTTTGTTTTTGTGGCTTTATTTTTATCTAAATGAAGCAGATTACTCTCTTTTAATGCTGGTGAGCATCGGATCTATGCCCTGTGAGGGCTGCCCTGACCGACCCTTCCTGCTCTGGTGGGTTTTTACGTGTTTTGAAAGGTGGTCGCTCCGCATGAACCTCTTGCCACACTGCTGGCACCCAAACCTCTTCTCCCCGGTGTGCGTCCTGAGGTGCCGCTGCAGCTCGTCCGAGCGCGTGAAGCTCTTTCCGCAGAAGAGCCAGTTGCAGATGAAGGGCCTCTCCCCAGCGTGCCAGCGCAGGTGCGCCTTCAGGTGGGACGTCTTCTTGTACACTTTCCCACACTCCGGGATGTGGCAGATGTGCAGCCTCTTCTTACCGAACTCCAACCCCCCGCCGTTTGTCTGGCAGTTTGGGCATTTGCATCGCCGGCAGCGACGCGTGGAGCTCAGCAAACCCTTGGAGGTGCCCTGGAGGAGAGCGGCTATCTGCGGCTGGTGGCCCAAAACGAGCTGCCTGCCCAGGGTGAAGGGGTGGTTGGCTGGGGCGCTGTTGGTCTGAGGGAGGCTCCACCACTGCTGGCCGTCCTCCACGTGGCCGCCTGACAGGTGATGCCTGGCGGTAGGATTCTGCAGAAAGCTTGGGAAGTTTTGTCCAACGCTGTTGTGCTGAGGGTAATAAGTGTTGGATTGAGGCTGCGAAGACAGCACTTTAACAGGGGACAGTTCAAATGAGTAGGAGGACGCGGGTTCAGCTGGGGGGGTCAGAGGCAGCTCGTGGTGGTGATGATGGGGGTGATGATGATGATGAGGGTGACCCAGGCCGGACTGCATGTGCCCAGGAAACTGCACCTTGGGCACCGTAAAGGTCATCTGGTGCGTACTGAGGGCCGTACTCGGGGCCATCTCATTGCTCCAGAGCTGAAACATCCCAGATGTGGAGCTGACGGTGCCTTCGTAAGGAAATTGTGACCCATCAGAGCCCATATTGCCGCCCACCTGCCAGGCCTGGCTGCAGGTGGTGGCCAGGAAGGAGAGGGCGTTGGGTGCACCCTCTGGAGAGGAGCTGGGGGTCCGATCCTGTGATACACATACAAGCAACATTAGTATAAATCATCTAAAAACCTTTTTTTTTTTTGTTTCTCAACAGCCCATTCTTTTATGCTTTTTCGTGTTGTCTTTTTTTTTTATAAATATATATTACATTCCTAATAAATCAGACTTTAACAAAGAAGAAAGGGAAAGCAGCATAAATCCATTCGCTATGCGTAAAACTTGAAGTTATACGGAAAGCGAGCATTAGATAAAACACGACAGAAATTATAAAAAGAGAATCAAACCTGCAAAAATGTGTGTAAAAAGTTATCAGTCCTCTGTATCGTGAGCGCAGCCATCTGTCCTTGAGCTCCTTTCCTCCACCTGCAGCACAAACTGCTCCGAGATTGCGTAAAAGCTGAAACTAAAGGAGATGGCGCAAAATGCGCGCATTCGGCACCTTAAAGGACTCCCGCACTTTAAAGCATAGATCTTCTTTGATTCATTCAAAAGTTCAGAAGAATTGTATAGTGTTTCTGTTCGCGGACAGTTTAAATCAGCTGATGTTATTAAAAGAGGTGCGCTCTGTAAAATCCAGTGTGAACGTCTCAAAGAAGTCTGAGCAGCATCTTGTCTTTATAGAGAGAAAAAAATCCTCTCAACGGGGTCTCCAGTGTGATGCAGGCGAGCTCATCAATAGAGTATGGATGAGCTGGAGGAGGGAGGGGGGCTTGCTGGGTGAAGGGGTGGGCTACTCATAATTTCACTCAACTTCAACCAAATGCTGACCCTGCGAACTGACTCCTCCTCCGTTTGTTCTGACAAAAGACTAATAAAAAAGATCAAAATAGAAAGATTGTCACTTAGTATTTGCAGCTTCTAGATGTGTCTAGTTTCCTCTGAAAAAGAAAAGGACAGTAACCCAGAAATGCATGCGCTATAAAAATATTACCCTGTAGATTGCTAAATATTATCCACTGCATTAATAACATACTACTCCAGCAAATTACTATGTAAAGTTAAAGATATATAGGTAGATATATTATAAGAAAATTAAATACTTGTTTTAACATGATAAACATAAATCCTTTTAGTATAATAGAGATAATGAAGATGTGGATTATTTCCTGTTTTGATTAATATAATAAAAAAGTGACATATAAATTGTTTTTTTTTTATAAAGATTTAGCCAAGTTTATGAACTGTCGGGACTCTTGTACTTAAATAGAAATATGTGCTAAATTGTAGTTCACAACACTCCTAATCCTTAAGTCAAATTTGCCTGCAAATTGAGTGTTTTAACCTGGTTACAGGTGTTAATAATGCATGAAATATTTTAGTTGTGTTTGTCAGGGAAATTCCTTCTACATGTTATTAAACTATATTTAAAAAGTTTGTCTTGGACAGGGGTGGAGCTAGATGGGGGGCCAGGGGTGGCCATGGCCACCCTTAGCTAATCATTTGCCACCCCTACCATTTTTTCCCCTCTAATACAGATGGTGGCAGCAGTAATACTCTCAAGTGGAATATTCAAAACATTTGATATTTTGTTTAGGTTAATTATACCCATCAATATACTAACATCAAAGATGATAAGTATAGAATTCATGCTCTTTCCAGAACCAGATATTCTGTTATATTGGGTAAAGAGATAATAATGTGTCTCTGGAAGTCAAATAGAAGTCTTCAGTGAAATCAAAGATAAAAAAGAAAAAAACTTATCAAATAATGAATTTATGTAGATATTTGTGCTTTTAAATATAATTTTTTTGCAGAATGTTTTTTTGGTACAAGTAGGTAAGTAATGACAATAGAAAAGACTTATGCCCCAGAACTCAAAACTGAGTTTTATCCACTATACCTTTATCTGGAAATTACGGATGTTTAAATATATGTGTCTATTTATTAACAAAGGCTGTAGGAAAGAATAGTTTGTCTTTATTTAGAAAATATGGATGTTTTGCTTGTTAATTTTCCTGCTGGAACAGTGTAGATTGACCGTGAGGTTCTGGTGCCGATCCGCTGTCGGCCACCCCTCAGTGTACGTTGGTTATTGCCTGGCCACCCTTATAAAAAATGGCATGGGCACAGGGGAAATGATGGAAATGGTTGGAACTCTTAGTAGCGGCTATAAGGAAGGTTTCAGCCCGTTGACCTTCACCACTTGTCTTCCCTGCTTTCGCTCAACCCTGTTTCCTGTCATCATACTTCAAAGAAGACCACTAGTGCCAAAAAAAAAATCTTAAAGGTATAGTGGAGGATTTTGGTGAATTTTTTAAAAGACCCACCCTCTCCACTTAAAAGAAATAAAATAAAAAATCACATGCACAACCCTGTACCCGCTCCCAAGAGGGAACACCTATTAAACATGTGCAAGGACATGCTGGAGCCCATTTCTCCTCGTGCATGCTCTGTTCAAAAGTTGCTGCATGCATCGCTCATACAAGCTCACTTTCCAAAAGAAGATTTGCAATTTTCCACTATGTTAGACTCACCACCAGTAAGTGAAAATGGGGATGAACACAGAGCACAGCCTTACGTAAACATATCACCAGAATGATTGACAATTAGGAGGACCACTTATTTAGATGATCCACTTGAACATCCTCCACTATATCTTTAAATAGGGGCAAAAGCACTAATATTCACACTACATTGCTGGCAAGTTGAGCTTCATAACTCATGAATCCCAATGGCTTTTAAAATAAACTCAAAAAGTGTATTCATGTTTTGATGAAGTATTATACTTGAGGACTAAACTACCGGTAGCCTAACTTGTTTTTTTCAGCTCATTTCAACTAATAAGGATAAATCAGATCTGAATAATCACAGTAGATAACTAGTCCAAATTTGTTAGTCTAATTTACCTAATGTATTCAGGTTTCTTAAAGGGTTTAAACTTAAATAATGTCTAACAGGGGTGCAGCCAGATCGAATTCATTTGTAACAAATAAAAATCCACAAAGAATTTTGAAAAGCAGACAATGTTAAACAGCAATGTACTTTATCTAAAGATCCATCTTAAAAATGAACACTTTTACTTAAATGGAAATTTTAAAGAATCAGGAAATAACAATTTTTTTCCTCTATACTATTTTTTTTTTCAAATAAGACTTTTTTGCGAAGCCATATTTTACCAAAACAATAACTTGAAAAGCAGTAAACTAACCCCAAATTTTCTTTAACATCACCTTTTCCATCTATGCATTTAAGGGAGAATGTTCTGTTATATGTTAACTCACAACGGGAAGATGGACTGGCAAAAAAAATATGATGTAATTACTGAAGGAGCCCCCAATGCACAGACCAATATTACCAAATATTTAAAATGTTTTATGTGTTTAGAATATGATCATCAAAAATGTAAAACTAGTACATATTTTAGCAAAGGCTCATATAAATTTGAAAATTAAATAAAATTCAATTATTGATTTTATTCATTTTCAGAATACTTACCCCAGGAAAACTTGTAGTTTTATAAGTTCTACTCTAAAATATCTATAATTACCCACTAAACTAAAAAGTATGCACGCTCTTAGACTATTAAATCAGATAAGTACTGTTTATTTGATGAGTGTAGAATCTAAAAATGACTAAAAACAGCATTTTGTGGAGTTTGTATTTCTGCATTTTCCCTGCATTTCTACATTTAGCACATTGCTCATTGTCAAAATGCTTACTCTGTTAAAAGATCTAAGATTTATAAAGCCACCTCTGTGAAAAAGAAAAGCTCACTATTTGCATATAACTTAAAGCCCTTGGTGGGAATTCAATAAAAACTGAAAAATACAAGAAATGTATTTTTATCTTGTACTAATGATGACAAGCAAAATAACTCTGATTCAGGAACAGGAGCTAGATCCCCCCCATATTAAATGTATTCTTTGGGAAAGAAAAATAGACTTAATATTATTAAGGATCTGAATGATTCAATGAATGAATATATGGACTGTTTTGGTGGGAATTCATTATAATTAGATTATCATAATAACTTATTTGCGCCTTATGGAAACACACAGTGGTCATGTTTGGCTGACGTGAAGCTCACACACTCTCAGAGAAGTCACAGTATTTTCCCCTCACAAAGCTAATTGATAAAACTCAATCAAAGCCTCCCAGAGTTCTCACCAGTAGGTAACATGTCAAATAGGCCGCCCCGTGTGACATTCTCACATTTCAGAGTTCAAGTAGAGGCCGCTTCAGATCTGCTCCATTAAATGCAGATCGGAAGGCTTAATCTCATTCTGTAAGTCTGCTCACCATTACAATGTTAAGAGGTTAAATCCAGGCTGGGAACCTGTTTCTCATGTAAATCCCCCCCCCATCACCCTTCTTTCTTTTTTGCTTATCTGCTCCTCACTGCTTTCCAGTGTGTGATCCTTAAATAAACACACTACAAGGAGAGTGAGAAGCTACCTGACAGTAGGATTTAAAAAAATAAAATGATTAATGCTTTACTTTTAAACTGGAAGAGGAGTTTCACCTTACAGTTTTAGGTTGGTGTAACCAGACAAAACTGAATTTAAAATATGCTTTTGAGATTAAATGCAAACACTCAAAAAAAAAAAGAAAATTGTACATGTTTGAGTTTTACTCAGCCCTTATATATTTATTTGATTTTTAGCATTGATTTGTCCCCAAATATATGATGCATTTCAAATGTTTTAGGTGGATTGGGAGGCTTCCCTTGGCCAACCTCTAGGCCACCGATACAAAACTGACCAATTTCATCCAATAAAAACTATTTATTAGAATAGCCCTTGTCTTTATTCGCTCAGAATGCACTCAAATTATCAGTGCAATTTAAAATAAAGAAAAACAGAACAGCAATAAAGGAGTGTATTCTTAAGGCAGAAGGGTACCATGTCTGCGGTTTATTACTGAGCAGAAGTTGTTAATTACCCTGATTCTTATTTCCTGTCCCCTCTTTCCACCACCCCTCCCCACCCCCACTGTATTGCCTCCCAGAAGAGTGTCTTTGAAGTGCAAAGTACTCTCTCCTCACTTTGAACTGCGAAAACAATGCTCATGTGGTGGTGCTTACCTTCCCCATGTTACCTCATTTAAATAGACCTGGATAAGGCTTCCACAGTATTCAAGGGAAAACTAATTTCCAGAGAAAGGGGTCCCTGTGTTCATTAAACAGCTGGTGAGACTGCTGGTAATCAGAGCCGCTCCGTCATGTGCCGCGCACTAACTCGGACTGGGTGGCTACCAAAAACTTCAAACCCAAATCCCAACAAGATGATGCAGATGTTCTTGTCTACCTATTTCTAGACAGCAAATGCATCCAGGAAAACAAAACTAAGGATCTTAAAACTTTGCAGGGTGTTCTGTGATTATGTTCTCAAAGGTTTGAAGCAGTGCTTCAGTTCCTGGACACTGTGAACAAAAGGTGCTCTTTTTGTTGCAGGAGCAATCTTAAACGCCTAAAGTAGAATATATAAGAATGTACTCAAGCCAGTTTTTTATAATGCCTGGGGGGGCAGTTTAAAAGCCTTAGATCGCTAAAGTGGCCCAGCTGTCTCGGCCATCTGCACTTGAAAACGGGCCACAGCGTTGGAGAGCAGCCTTTGTGCTGGTGGCCATGTGAGAAAGCTGGTTTTACAGAGCGGTGCTAACTGAATGGCCCATGTGTGACAAATGTGGCCTAATGGATCAGACAGAGAGACAGACAGCTTGTAAAAG